TGGAGATATTTCATGTAACGGTGGTAGGAACCCCACGGAATTACCCAACTATATTTAAGACCATTTAATAATGACATATGCAAGAACAATATGTCACGTTTCAATTTTCTCAAATCGATGATATGCATTTTTTATAATAAATGAAATATCATTGTTTGCGAAATACAAAACGAATAATAGATTAAGTCATTGATTTCAAGGACAATAAACTAAAAATGTATCTTATTAAATGTGTGAAAATTTTCTGTATTACTCTAATTTATATTTGCTTATATGTGTTCGTCTAGAAATTTAACAAAATTTGCTTTGCAAAACTTGAAATATTCATTGTTCTTGAAAGCAAAAGTAGGTCACAATAGCAACAAAAGCATTGTCACTATCAGATGGCATTTTTTACAACGATGACTTTGTTGCTTTATAGGTTTATTTTTTCAATGAATTAAAATATACTCATTCGTAATGAAACGTTTTAATGAGTAATTATTTAACAAGGAGTATTTTAGTAACAAAGTGGAGTAAAATAGTCAGAAATATGAGATCAGTCACGCTTGTGTTAACTTTTTTCGGTAATGCGAGCGAAAATAAGATGAAGAATAATAAATTCCTATACAATTGCTATAAAAAAAATACGTTGTAAATACAATGTTTATCTAAAATCAAATCGAAGTCCATATTTTGATACTTACAATCTTAAATTCACTAAATTTTTGATGATTTAGAAAATTTTTAATTATTTTGTTACTCTAAGCAGAAGGATGAATATGTTGATCTTCTCTTCTTTCACACCCACATCCATTCTCACTAATATTTGTTTTTATGCAGCTGATTACTTAAAAATAGTTCGAATTTTGATGACTGTTGTTAAGTCCAACAAATGAACAATATGCTATTTTTTAGGTCTTTTATTTCACAAATGAAAGTATAGTTAAACTGCATAATTATTAGATTTATCGACATGATCGAATTGAAATAAAATCATTGGTCATTTAAAAATTTGAGGTAGAACTTAAGCATCGAAAAGTAACGATACGTCTAGTTTCTTGTCGATCGTGTAACGTTTGAGAACATCTTTTGGAATATAATTAACTAACAATCTGTTCATTAATTCATCCTTTTCTTTTTCAGGCAAAAACGATGATCGTGCTGCATTGAATACACATTGAGTGAGCTGCGCTGGTGATAATTTGAGATCGACTAATGCATGTTTATATTCATGTTCAATGGTAATCTGTGATACAGATGGATCATCGCACGATAATGAAAAATTGAGATGATCTCGAGCAAAATGATGAAGAGGATGCCATACTTCTTTTTTCGATTTCATATGTAAGTGAAGTTTGGTATTCGTTTCTTGACCATTCAACATCAAATGTTTTTCTTGTATATCACAATCTTTCGGTGCATATTTGCCGACAGCATTCGTTTGTAATGATGATGTTAAACAACATTCAAGATGGATATCTCTGCTATGAATGAGTTCATATACGGATGGATCATCAATAATGGCATAACCATGCCCGATTCGTTCAGCATGACATTGTTCAATTGCTTGACGAACAGAATCGGCCGAACCTGACTCACCAGCATGCACAGTACGATGTATGCCGAGTTCAGTAGCACGCTGAAAAGCAGTCACATGAGGAGCAACGGAATGTTCATACTCATCGCCAGCAGCTAGATCTATACCGACTACACCCGCTGATCGATATTTGTGTGCAAGTTCTACAATTTCCATTGACCTATAAGGCAAACGATGACAAAGAAATTCTTTATTTCAGTGTGCTAAACAAAATGCGACGGCACATATGTCAATGATCCATCTTGAGGATGTGGGTGTGGGTGTGGATTTATCGTCTCTTAAACCATACCCACGCCCACCCTCCTCGAGGAAAGTAGTGTATAGCTAGCATTTTGTTTCAAACTCTCGTTGGAAACGCTATGTGAGAGATATGAAGAAAGAAGATATAGTTCTTGTCGAAACAATGAAGGAGAAGAGAAAAGACGATTTAATTCATCTTCGATCATATGGCAAAATGTTTTAGATTTAAAAAGAGCTTTTCATTGTCGCTCGCTGCGTAGAATGTTTTTTTCGTCTCGTTCATCCCATTAGGCGTCTTTATCTGTGCATCCGCTTTTACCGAATCAAAATCTATATTTCTAAAGGTTGTTAAAAGAGACTCTACACAGTCCTGAAGTCGAAGAAAAAATTCAGATAGCGAGCCTTCGACGTAAAGAAATGGGAACCATAAGAATACAAAAAAGTTCCTCGTGGACTTGAAAATTTCATCCAAGTTTAAAAAAAAAAGCATTTGTTAACTTTGAACTTTAAAAGTATAAAAACATTCAAACTCCACAAAGAAAGTTGAGCCTTCCTGGATGAAATGCAATAACTATGAGCGAAGTTGTCAATTTTTTATAAAACTTTTCTGCTGTTGCTCTGATTCGAACCAAGTTAAACTTTGGTATCATCTGTTTCATAGAGTTCTCTACTTATCTAGGTTTCACTAAATTGCAATGCTGTGAGTATCTTGGAGCAACTGATCGTAAGCACGCAGTGTGTTGTAGACTGAGAAAAACTAATTCTTCTTACAGAACTAATATCAATTACATAGCAAAATCCCTCGAGTCAATCAACATACCATTCAGGATGTGGACGTATGCAACACAGTAGCGTACGAACGTCGACATGGAATTCCTTTTTGCCGCGTTCCAACCCACAATTGATTGCTTCGATAACCTGTTCACAGAAATTCGTTTCAAATTGTAATATAAAATTCGAGAAGAAAATAAACATACCTGTTCAGGCGTCAGGATGTTGGCTGTCAAAAAATGAGGACTATAGCGAGCTTCAGTGTAGAGTACACCTTGCACTGCTTGATCTTCGACAAACTCATAAGCAACACGTTCCAAAGCGTCAGCATCACCGGCGACGATAGAAATAAAAAAAGGAAATTTTCCGAGGAAGTCGGCGAGCGATTTGCAATCCGATTGAACGCAAACATATCTTTAATTTAACAGAAATGGAATTATATCATGTAATATATTTTAATTGCAATTACGGTATGAAATCTTCAATTGTTCTTTTCATCCCTCTTGGAAGTGGAATATCTAAAAATGGAAAGAAAAAATCACATGAGCATTTTTGACTAAGAAAAAGGAGTACCTTTCTTTTCAGCCAACTCGAACAAGGTCGAATGTCGAAAGGAACCATCGAGATGGATGTGAAGCTAGATGGAAGAGGGAAGGACATTTTTTAAATAGGTAGAATATCCTACTTCGACTAATGTAGGTACAAAATGGCTTAGTGGATGTCGATTATGATGCGATGTGTGATGGTGATGATCGCAAGTGTTCGGATCGATCAACGTGCCAGGAAGAGGCTTTTCGTTATCATCATTCATTTGGTTGTTGTTCATTGTGAGTGCAGCAGGACAAATATCTATAGTGAAGAAACAATAACTAGATAAAATTTATTATAGAGACATGCGAAGCGAATGTATAGTTCAAGCTAAATTTAACTGGTGACAGTAAAATAAACGTTCTTCATATATTTTAACTTGGATTCGGACGAACTTTGTATCATTTTGTAGTCCATGTATTTCTCTACAAGTCTAAACTAGTACCAGTAGTTTAGACTTGTAGAGTTGGACGAGCTGATCCTTTTTCGTAGGAAGAGTAACTTGAAAAAACATTGAGAAGTAGTCGAAAGTTTGATTTTAATAGGCTCAGCTATCTTGTTGGTGACAGATATTTTTTCTATTTCGGAGGATGGTCGAGATACAGAAAGCAAAAAAGTGTACACATTAGTCCCACATGTCTCTACATTCGACGGACTCCGTTTCTGTTCGGGAATACACGATCATTTACTCATAAATGTAAAATCAAATATCGTATCTGTGAAACACACTTCTTTATTTCGTCGACAAACGCAAGAAAAAGAACCTATCCAGATAACTTTTACTATGAAAAATGTGGTAACTAGAAAGGGATAGAATGCATGTAACTTCGACTTGTATGTTTTATCTTATTTTGCTGTTAGAATGAGACTTACCTGTGAGTTGACGTAAAAAAAGGTGAACTGACAGGCGAAAATGAAAATCATATCTCTGGTATGATCTTTGTTTTATGGCAGATAAAATAATGTGTTCTTCTTTTTGCATTTTATTCATAAGGCGAAAGATAAAGAAGTGAAAAATACTTTGAATGAGACGAAGAAAAACCAAACAAGGGTACGGGTGTGGGTGGGTGAAGATTTGGGTGTGAACATTACGTGTCTTTTAAACTCACACTCTCATCCTCCAGTTAAAGTCAGACTTTAGCTTTAACGTTTACAGTAAAGCTAAAGTGCCACATCTAGTCGAAACTTACCCCTCATGTAACTTATCTATGATCGTCGGATCATTTCGAATACTTCCAGAGTCAAAACCATCTGAGAAGACCCTTTACCAAGATTGAGACGCCTCATGGTTGCTAGACTCACATATCTCTCTATCTTATTTCATGTAATAATTTGCAATTTAATTTTTATTTTATATTATTGATTTTCATATGATTAGTTAATGTTATTAATTTTTAAATAAAATAATAGTTATTCAAGAAGAGAAGAATTAATTCTTAATATTCAACTAATTACATTCACTGAAAACAGCAGTTATAACAAAATAAATTGTGACATTGTCCGCAGCGAATAACATTACCATCATCATCATCACGTCTGCAGATTTTACACTTTTGACCACCACCAACAATTTCACAACGACGACAAGAAGAAAAATAATTATAAACAGGACGATAAAGATTATTATGGTTGCGATTACATAGACTATTGCAATGTGGACAGACGAAATGTGGTAGGCTCTCTTGCATCTCTTCAAAATGAAAGGATGAAATATTGATTTCTATAGTGAGGAGTAGCAGTGTGACTACATCTAATTTGTGGTTGTGATCCTCTATTGAATCAATTTTATACTACTCTCCCGTATGATAGAGTCATTTTAGCGTCTGATTGAGAAGAATTTTTAAAAAATGTACTTATTAGGTTTCTAATAGGTTCTTGACACAATCTTGCATTAAAATATCGTTCATGGTGAGGTAAATTTTTGTAGTTCTGTACGAGAAATTTCTGCAGAGCTGCATTTAAATGCAAGCCGATTTGATTGCATTATCTTCACTATGTGAAAAGCAGGGGTCTCAACAAAATTGTCTCAAAATCATACCATACGATAGTAATGAATATTGATATTTCTTGAGGCATTTACTTGTCTTCTTCTCAAGCATATCAATTTCTATCCTCCATAGGTAAGTATTAGCATTTATCATGCCAAATCTCATAGCAGTCAATCTATGAAATGTCCTCGACGTCATCTGCGCACCAGCAAGGGGAGGGTAAGATAACTCCAAAATGTAGACAAAGAGATGTTGTCGATGCAGTCTTGAGTGTACAATAAGGATACATGTAGCAGAATATCTTGCTATATTCTTCTGACAAATATTCTCATGTCTAGTAGGAATTCATGCGAAAGGTATGATTCATGAGTATTTTTGTAGGCTAATCAATTACTATTCAAAGGTAGACTCTTTCGACTGAGATACCTTCCGTTCACATTTTAGATCCATATTAGACAGAGTAATTGATTAATCAACAGTTGGGTCAGCCGTGTCTTGTTGGATCAGCACCATTACTTCATGAAATCCTGGCGCAAGATGACAAGTTTCATCAGGCGAGCGCATTCTGTTTGTTATCGAAAATAAAAATCATCGACTTTCATCTCAAAATCTTCTAATTTTTCTCAAGAACTACGGTATAGGCTACTTCATTCGTTCTAGTGGGTGGAGACACATTTCAACTGCATGAATTCGAAACTATGTTGGTAATCGTGCATTTACAGGATAAAATGATGATTACTGATTATCTTGACGCACATAAATCACAAAATAAATCTAAAAATTTTACTTCCAAAATCTTCAATATAAGTCCTGCGAAACAAAGGTCTATCACAGTACAAACGTGAAGATAACATGACGACACACTCAGCGCATATTGTCACCATGAGAGTGCCTGACAATGATCATAGTAGACCTCGTAAAGGTCTAGTGTACATTTTTGATAGCAATTTTGGATTATTTTGTGATTCATTTACGTCATGAAGTCATAGACTCCTCTGAATTCTAGCTGATTCTCGTGGCTCTTCGGACTCCAGGAGGGTGATTGTGATGGTGACTGATACATTAATCTCTCACTCACATTGTTGAGCTATTCTTGAGACATCGGAACATTGAGACACCTCCTGTACAAAATGGTCAATTTTACGGCTTGTCGTAAAATGCTCATAAAAAAACGAGGGTTGAAATTTTTTTTTTAATGAATTGCGTCAAAATTTATAAAACTCTTCTCGCTACAGCATATATTACATTGAGCAAAATCTGACAACCGCGATTGAACAAGTCGATAGGGAATCTGTCGTGACTTATATCTAATGATTTATATAACGAATGGTCTTTTTCTTATCTCCACTGTCTGAGCTCTTCTCTTATATACTTACCCTTAGCCCTTTCTTTTTGACGTATTTTCCATTCCTTTTGACGCTCTTCCCATTCCTTTTGCCGTATTTCCTTTTCTTTTTGACGTTCTTCCCACTGCTTTTGACGTGTCTCTCTCTCCAATTGACGATTTAGTCGCGCGTATTCATTCATTTGTTGGGTGTGGGTGTGGGGTGTGGGTGTGGGTGTGGGGTGTGGGTGTGGGTGTGGGTGTGGGGTGTGGGTGTGGGTGTGGGGTGTGGGTGTGGGTGTGGGGTGTGGGTGTGGGTGTGGGGTGTGGGTGTGTGGGCGTGGGTGTGGGTGGGTGTGTAAAGTTACCACAATAATAGTATTATTATTTCTGATGTTCTAAACTCAAATCTTTATCAAGTGGTCTAAGTATTAGTATATGAGATCCAAAGAATTTTGAATCAATACATAACACTATATAAATTCTACTTGTAATAAGCAGAATGCACCTACAATAAAGTGGGTGTGTAAAGTTACCACGATAACCTAGTATAGATTATTTCTGATGTTCTAAACTCAAATCTTTATCAAGTGGTCTAAGTATTAGTATATGAGATCCAAATGTAAAATTTGAATCAATACGTAACACTATATAAATCCTACTTGTAATAAGTAGAATGCACCTACATTAGTAGTGGGTGTGTAAAGTTACCACGATAACCTAGTAGATTATTTCTGATGTTCTAAACTCAAATCTTTATCAAGTGGTCTAAGTTATTGTCCAATAATGAAGTTTTATTAAGTATAGGAAAATAATAGTGTACAGCGGTATAGATACAAGTGTCACTTGTTTGGTAACATTTGGTTGATGAGTTTTTGAAGAGGATTTTTGACTGTCCATGGTCTATTGAAAAGAAAAAATATGTTTTATAAGAGATTGATTATTGTTTGAATGCATACTGTGTATATGTTTTGGGTTCCTCTGGCAAAGTTAAATAATTTGTCGGTGGTTGTTTCTTGACTAGGTAGTCAATGGCTTTGTCGAAGAACGATTGGTTTTGCCTAATAGTCATGGTAATATGTTGTATTGTTCGGTGGTGTTTAAAATGTTGATAGAAGTTTGTATTGAAGTGTTGTTCGATTTTGCCTATTGTAGTCCCGTCTAAGTTTGGTATATAAGGAAGTTGTAGTATGATTTCTGTTTCTTTGTTTTGTTGTATTTGTCTATTTTTTTTGTTTGCTTTTCGAAATCTATCATAATTGAAAACATGATCACGTATAATTGCATAACTAGATCTGGTGTATGGTGGATACACAACGGATGCACCAAAATCTTCCAGAATTTCTTGATAGGCTTCATTGAAGATAATAGCAGGTAATTGATGTTGTTTAAGTTGCCAGTTGATTTCATTCTTTTCTTCATAGTAAATATTGCCATCGGAACAGTATCGGATGGCTTTTAAGATAGCTGCTTGTAACCATTTCCATGTATCTTCTTTGATTGCTGGTTGAAGAATATCCCGAAATGATGGTGGTAACAGACTGTGCTCGAATGTTTGTTCATGATAAACACTTGTTTGAAGAAGTCCATTATTATTAGTTATTAGAATATCACGAAAATGAATAGTTGCTCCAATATCAGTAATATTCCATATAGGTTGTGAAAACTGTGAATTAGCCATAGTTAGTAATGTACGAAGTTCATCTTCAGATCTGTTCCATGTAATAAATGCTTCATCTCGATATCTATATTAGTAAATAGAAATAGTATATGATTTTAAATTTAGAACAGAGGATAAATACCTGAAAAAAAGTTCATTCTTATTAATAAGATCTTGTAATAAATCTTGTTGCCAATAAAATAAATAGATATAGGCTAATGGAATAGTTAATGATGAACCAGAAGCACCACCAGCAGTTTGTCGATATAATTTATAATTGTAAATAAAATATTGTTCATCGAGTACGAGACGAACAAGTTGAAGAATTGTACTAATTGTCATACCTTGAATTAAATGATCTGATGTGATGTAAGAATTGAAGAAATATTCTAAAGCATTCATAACTTGTTGATGTGAAAAATTTAAACATAAATCATTAATATTAAATGAAGCAAATAAGGTAGTTGGTCGAAGTTGACCACTTTTCTGATAGAATTCCATAGCATGTATAATATTATAAGCTTTGTGAATTTTTTTACAATAAGTTGCATCATTGAAAAGTAATCCAAGAAGACGACCAAGATAACGACTAATACCTATAGTTGGTCCATTATTACATACCATGATTGGTTGAACTGGAACTCCTTCCTATATATATAGTTATATGACAAGATAAAATAGAGGATAAACATTCATAAGAAAGATATACATACTTTGTGTGTGTCTGATACGAAGTTTAAATAATGCATTCGTACTGTAGATCGATCGATTTTCATAGTCATATGTTGTGCTTCAGTAATAGATTTGGAATATAATAAATTGTTCAATGTTGTTTCAACTCGTTCAACAATTTTAGCTAAACGATTTTGACTAGCAGTCGGATATGAACGACTGAGTCTAAAAACGAATGAATAGCTACTGGTCTGATTCATGAATTGATTGACTTTATCATAAAAAGTGTGGCTTGACTCCACATAATATCCAATATCTTTATAAATTGGTCGTAAAATAAGATTTTCATTTCTTAATTGTTGTCGAATTTGTTGAAGCTTGTTTTGGTAATAACATGCTTGTCGACGTTCGAATCGAGTCATAGATTGTAAACGGTCATCATGAGTGAGATAAGAGCTATCACTCCAATCAATATTCTTGTCACTTGATGTTTCTTTATGATGGTAAGTTATTTCTTTGTCATCATTATCATTATCATTATCACTATCATCAGATGAAGACCAATCATTTTCGTTGATACTATTGTCCTTGTATGGAAATTCAGTTGTCCAATAATGCCTTTCTTTTTCTAATTCGTCATCAGATGAGATGTTATTTGTTTCGGTTGTGTCATTGATTTGATAAGCCATTTAAGATAAATAAATGTATATGTTGTTTACTTTAATATCGAAAATATAAATAATAAATCTGAAAGAAAAGAAAAAAAAAGACAATGAGATTTTATATGTTATAGGAGACCATTTCGTCTAACACAAAAACAAATTTATTTTATTTAGAGTAACACTTATCATTACTCAAGAAAAAGACAATTTAGTATATTTTATTTTTTTTTTAATGTATATAGTCTATGTACAAGTTTATATAGGAGTAGAGTATTCTGTTATATAAACAACGGGATTTTTATGGAGTTGAGTTATTTTGCATATTGAGTTGTATATCCATCTGTGTAAGAGTAGTTTGGTTGAATATGTTGGCCACTTTTCCTCGTAGTTCATAATCATGACGTTGTTTCATATTGTGTTCACGTTGGCGGATAACGTTAATGGTTTGATCGAGTAGTTGAACATTTTTATGATGAGATCTAGTAGATTGTAGCTTATTTTTTTCATTATTTATTATTTTGTTGTAGTATTGTACCATTTGTTCGGCTTTAGCTATTGTTTGTTCAGCGATATGTTCGGGCGATGATGTTTGACCTTGAAAAAATAGTGATGTGACGATTTGATATATATTTGGTAATTGTATATGTTGAAGACTGAATGATGATGCTTGTGTATGAACTTCAAGCCATTTCTTAAATATAACCATTTCATCGATTATATTATGTTGTTCATTTATAGCGTTCCAGATAATTTTTGCTGAGTTGATCTAAATATTAATACATTTTGCAAATATATGTGAGGTCTCTGTATACTTACCTCTGTTTGTCTTGGCTTCAATTGGTAAAATTGTTCAACAAGTTTGCGTTCTTCAGCATCTAGTCGGAGCATTGTTTTTCTTCGGTCACGTTCAAATCGTAATTCATATTGATCTTTATTGATTAAATTATTTATCATAGTTGTAATAGCTTGCATATCAATAATAAGTGGTGCTTGTTTCATACATTGATTAATAGTCTCTTGATTTTTTTCACATTGTAGCTTATATTTTGCAAGACGTTGTTTGATTAAGTTTTTGGATCGACCATATGTATAACACATTGAATTGGCTTCGGCCATTTTTTTCGATACTCGGTTGGTCCAAATACCTTCGGTCATGCCAAGATTATTGTAAAAAGTCCATTGTTCAAGTTGTAATTGAGAATAATTAAATTTATTGATCAATTGTGTAAGTTCACGAATAAATAATAATATTTCTGTCTGGTTTAATAATTCAATAAGTGCATCAGTACTCATATTATTTGTTGTTGACTGTAAAAACAAATCTTTAAATTTACTGTCTGATATTGTTAAATAATCAGGTAATAATAATGTTGGATCAGAACTAGTTGTCATATCCAAAGGATTTAATATTTTTTTCTTTGGTAACACTTGTGATGTTGATAAATTTTGAAAATATTCACTAGAATCCATAGTTGCTAATTGAAATTGCAATTTGCTAGACACCTGTTTCTTTTTTATTCGTAATTGACGATTTTTCTTTTTCTTATTTTGACCTTTACGATTTTGCTGACTTTGATTGAATTTATTTTTCATTTTTGCTTGCTGATACTTGTATTGAAGTTTAATAATTTTTCGAACTGAACTGGTCACAGTTAAATATCTGAAATGAGAAAAAAATCTAATATAGAATTTTTTTTCCTAATATAACAAAAGTGTGCAAGGAAAAAAGACAGAGAATATATAATGTAATTTATTTTTAAAGGAAAACAAAGAAAAGTAATGTGTTTTTTTTTAATGTGCGTATAATGTTCACGAGATATTCACGCCATTACCATTTACTTCATTTGGTTTTCGTTCTAAGAGAAAAAAAAATAATTATTTTCAATAGAAAAAAAAAACCATTGCTTGTAGCTTACTCTTTGCTAATGGATCTTTTAATGCTGATGAAGATGGTCGTTTACGTGAAAGTTCAAATTCAATATTTGGATTATTTCGACAACCAACAACTAATCTTATGTCTCCGTGACTGGTATTTTTGAAGTGACTATCATGTATCATATGTATTTCACGAGCTAAACCTTTCAGTCGACCCTCATGTTTTACATGTAAAAAGATGTTGTTTTTGAACTTTTCATTGTTTCGTTGAATAGTTGCTTCCATTGTATTTGTATTTGGTTGTGTAACATTTTGTGTATGTTGTGTAAGCTGTACGGTAGCTGCACTTATGACCAGTTGTGTTTGCTTCGCTGTTGGTTGATTTAAGAGTTTTTGACGTAATGCAAGGAATTGACTTTCATCGGTAATCACTGGTAAAATTGACGAAGAAGTTGAAGTTATATAGTCAGCAAAGAATTTTTCAAATTCTTGGTTAATATAATTGGATGGATATCTGAACAAAAAAAAAAGGCGATGATCATTGAATGATGTAATAGATAGAAGAAAAAAAAGTAGATGATTTACCTGTTATATAAGAACATTAAACGAATGGCTCGACGTTCATCATCAAATATTTCAAATGTTGATGAATATCGTACAGCTCGAGTGAGAGTAGTTTGAATGACATTTCGAAAGACATGTCGTGGATGATCTGATAAAAATGATAACACAGTTGGTTCAGCTGAAGGTTTATGATAGAGCGATGATGCGAAAATACCATTATTGTTTTGAATAAGAACATCAAGGAATGGAACACTTTTTCCAATCTTATATTCTAATTTAATATTTGGATGAAAATTATTAGCTGTTTCTAATAATTCTTTCACCTTTTCTTCAGATTGGTTCGATATAAAGAAAACATCATCAATATATCTATAATCGAAAAAAAAAATCTTAAAAATTAAATTTCTATGGATACTAAAAAAAATTACATACCGGCCATATAATTCATGTGAAGATAATTTTGGTAAAATAGTTTGTCTTTCCCATTTCCACATGAAGATATTTGCTAATGTTAAAGTAAATGCCGATCCCATAGCACCACCAATAATTTGTCGATAAAATTTGTTATTATAAACAAAAGCGTTTGCTTGAAGCACAATACGAGCTAATTCAATAATTGTATCAATTGAAAGACCATTCACTTTTTCATAATTATGTGCACGAAGAAATTCAGCAAGTATAACTAAAGATTCTTCTTGTGGTAACATTGTATAAAGATTTGTAATATCGAATGTAATAAAAAGAGTCGATGAATTAAAATAACCTTTTTGAATATATTTTTGAAGTTGTTCAAGAAGATCAGCACCATCTACAAACGTTGTTTGACGTACAAATCGATCAAATAATGGTCGAAGTAATTTATCTAAGAATTGAGAAATTTGTTTTGATGCTGCATGAATTGTATTTAAAATCGGCCGTAGTGGTGTACCTTTCTATAAAATAATCGAATTTTTATTAATAAATATAATATGGCGAAAAAAAAATTGTATAAAATGTTGGTTACCTTATGTGGTTTAGGAATAAAATACATATAAGTTAATTCAGTCTTCTCTCGAATAGGCATCATTTTGATTCGTTGCCATTCATATATTCGCTTGAATGACTTTAAATGATTAAGTAAACGTGTTACAGTACAAATTATATCATTGAATGGATTAGAAGTTAATTCTTCATAAGCACCTGTTGTTCGTCGATATTCAATTGCTTTTCGTTCATAATCAGCAGCAGAACCAATATGTAATACACCACTTTTGTCTGTTTCACGCAATATAAGATTTAATTTTTTTAATTTTTTTCGAATTGATTGAATCATTTTTAATTCACGTAGAGCACGTATTTGATCGATTAATGGTATAGGAGTCATATAAGCTTGATTTAAACAGGATTGAACTTGATCAGAATAGGATGTATATAAGCGTGAGTTGAGTGGTATTTTTGGTTGATGATCACCACCAGACATACATTTCTTCAGTTTTTTCATTATATCTTGAAGTTCTCTGTCAATTCGTTTTTTAAATGTTTTTTCTGGAAAAAATACACTTGGATTTGGTCGTATATAAGATGGTCCTAATAAAAAGAAACAATAAATGTATATGAATATAATATAATTTTTAAAAAAAAGTCTCACCTCTTGAAAGATAATCAAGTTGAGCAGCCGTAAATGGATGATACAAAAGGTCGACAATGACAGTCGGCTTTATAGTAACCATTTTTTTGCTCGGCTTTAAGCGTCGCTGGACACATAATATTTGTTTTCGATAAAGAGGAATTTTTTCATAAGCTGTCTCTTCTTTTAATCGATTTATTCGACGATTGATATAATCAAGAAAAGAATTCACTATAGTTCTTGTTCCACTATTGATACCGCCATGATTCGAATTCGTTAATTGAAATTGATGTAATTCATTTTCATATTGATGTTTGAATTTTTTTATTTCACTTTCATATGCATCGATATATGTCATTAACCATGTTCGTTTTGCTTTTTGTATAATTTTGTAATAATTTTGTTTAAATTCAATAGCTTGAGTATCTTTAACTACAGGAAAATAATCATCAAATGTAATAAAGCCCTCCAATTCGTCAAAACTTCGAGGTAAAAAATCAATGGATACTCGAATTTCTAATTTTAGAAGACTTTCGTAGAATTGTACTTGTTTTTCTTGTAAATGTATAAGTCGATTGATCGTATTTTGCTATGAAAAAAAAATAATAATAATAAAGAAAAGGTTTCTATGAGTAAAATCAATTTACTTGATCACTTGTAAGAGGAAAACTTGATAAACTTTGAAATAATTCTATTTCTGTAATCATATCTTGATATCGACTGAGTTGATATTGTATTTTTGTTGCTAAATATTTTTGTTGTATTTGAACAAGTTCTTTCAGATGTTGATCAAGTGTCGATTGTAATTGTAATAATGTTACTGGACATGACTGCAATTGTGTTCTTAATTCATTGCTAAATTGATCATATTTACTTTTTATTTCATTAAGACGTTTCTGTACAAATTGTTGACATACTAAATGTTCATCAATTTTTGCCATTTTCATCACTACATTCTATATGAATCGAAAAGAAAAAAATAATATAATGAATTTTTTTTGAACTTACTGGCCACACTTCTTTTTCAGTTCCTAAGTTTAAATATGATTGCCATAAATTTTGACGAAGTTCAAGACGACATTGTTGATCTAATAGTTGAAGTCGAGAATGAAGAAATTGTCGTTCACATTTTTTTTTAAAGTATGCTTCAATAGTAGACGTAAAGTTCGAAATAGTAGATTTGGATGTGCTTTCAAGTAGATTGGTAATTTATAAGTTGGTTTTAATGGAGTCATAGTAATTTGTGATGACTTGCTTCTTTTCATTCGTTTAACTGATGGACGTGAAGTTGATCGTTGACTTGATGAGGGTGTCATTTGTTGTTTACGTTTATTTGATTTTGATGTTGTTGTATTATTTTCATTGATATTATCATTTAAGCCATTGGACACTTCCATTTTTTCAACTGTTGTATTTTGTTGTAAATTCGTTTTCCGATTATTAGTTTGATTTCTATCTTGATTACTATGATTATATTCATTAATTAATTTTTGTATTTCTTCTTCGGTGAGACCACGTTTACGACATTTCTTTTTAAAACGTTGTAACTTACGATTACCATGGCATTTTTTTCTTCGTTTATTTTTTTTCGTTCCTAATGGTATATGTTGCTGTTGTTGTCCAATTTGATTTTGTGAATTCGAAGGTAATTGACCTGGATGCCGTTGTCCATTTGGAATTAAAGTTGAGTTTGAAGCTTTCATTTTTTTTTAGAATAGAATCTGAAAAAAAATATACATATATCTGAAACAAATGAAAAAAAAATGTACACAAGAGAAAAATGGGAATAATGAAAATGATGAATATTTATTAAATTAATCATCATGAACAGAATTTAAACGCAACAAATCAAGTTTATATTTATAAACACACTTGACACCTTCATCCATATTTTTCCAACGTTGTTCAATTAAAGTAATCATGCTGCTGTTGAATTTTTTATCGTTTGGTAGTGACTGTTGTTTGACTTGGAATTGTTTTAATGTAGTATTAAATTCCTTCTGATATTGATCCATTTGAGCTTGAGCGGTAGAAAGCTACAACTGTATCATATCTTTTCTTGCTTGTAGTGCTGTGTTTATATATTGATCACGAAGTTTTTGTTGAATAGATTGATCTTCAATTGTTTTCAAAAGTTTTTCATTAGGTAATTCGAGAGATGTTGACGATGATTCTTCAATTGAAATGCGATATTTCAATAAATTATATTCTTCTTTAGTAATTTCTTCTTGATACTTTGCATGATTTAATTTTTCAACCATTTTTTTCTACAGCCAATAAAAAAAATGATGTATATGTGCATTCAAAATACAAAAAAAAACAATTTATAATAACTTGTTGTTGAGTTGGATTATATGCTAAAAATTTTAATTCCAAGACATAATCATTGTAATTGTAGTGAACAATTGCGATTTTTTGTTCTATTGCCAAGCGAGTAGATTGAAGTTGTTGATGAACAAATGCTTGAATTGTTGGTAGATAATTTACATATTGATTTTTTTTCATATTATATGTAGTTTGATATCGTTTCATTTTATCATCTAATTCATCAAGATATTGTGTGACGTAAGTTAAACAAGCAGCAGTATCAATGTTATCAGGTGATTGTTTACTAACAAGTTTTTGTACCTGAATTGGCCAAAGATGTGGACGATTCAAATTATCATTATCCATATGATTTAATTGAAGTTGACCTGTACCTGATTTTAAATAAGTTGTCCAGAGTAATTTTTCTAAATCTATTAAAAAAATTTGATGTATCACAATAGCCATTTGTCGTAATTCTTCGGCCAATTCATTTGACGATAAATCACTGATAATTTGTTCGAAAGATTTATTTTCTTTTGATAGATATAATGGAATATTTTCCGAAGTATCTACATTGACCATATTGAGATGTTCAGTTATGTAATGTGAAGTCATAGATAATTGACTTAATCTTTGTGATAAATCTTGTTCTTCCAATGACTAAACAGAAATAAGAAAAAAAACAAAAAAAAATTACTATGAAACGTAATCTTGATTAAAAAAACAGATCTTACTTTCACTTGAAATTTGGTTGGAACTTCTTCTTGAGTTTCGTTGGCCAATAAATTGTCAACTTCTGTTATAGAATCATTGTCTAAGGATATATTCATAGTCCTTCCATTATTCTTTTTTTGTCCAGTTAACACTTGAGTTTGGAACAGTTGTTGATTCCGACGCCCTGGTTTCTCCATTTGTAACGGTATAGTATTCGTTTGAAATTGAAAATGATTGCAGTAAATAATATCTGAAAGAAAAGACTATGTACACATATGTATATATATATATATATATAAGTCTAAAGTTTGTAGCATAACACAAAAGTTGCATGAAAAATCGAACAATTTGTTTAAGTACAAACATATGAGATAGTTTTGATGCAAAAGAACTACATAGGAATAGAAACAATTAGATACAATTAGAAGAAAATATTGTCATCGATAGTATGAACGAATCCTAATAATTGTTTAGTACGTTTTTTCATATTTTTCAAACGATCTTGGATAATTTGATACATCGATGCGCTGAATAAACCGTTTAAAAGTAATGGATCTTGTTCAAGAGCAGCACCATTCTTCCATGCAATTTGTTGATATATCGAGCTTGAACGATTCTTCTTTTTTTGACGAATTACTTTTTTGCAAAGTTCGAGTTGATCTCGCCAAATTTTTCGAACGATAACAATCTAAAATCAAAATAAACAAAAGAAAAGTAATTAGAAAACAAAAACAAACCTGTTCCACTGTTGGATTTAAATCATAGAATGATTTGACAAGATTTGCATCAGTGATATCAAAGTTTAATAAGATTTTCTTCTGTTCAAAGTTGGTATGCAAATAATACAGACTATTTTCGACAAGAGTAACAAGAACATTAGAGATGATGTTCAAGAAATGATCCATAGAAGTCTTATTGTATATTTCACAATCGAATGGACATGATTGTTGTTGTAAACGAATGTTTAAATTATATTCTGCTTGTTGTAATTTGTTTTCAATGATTTTTTGTCGATGTTGAATATTTATTTTTGTTTTCGTATGATCCCAATTGATAGAATTTTGTTTCGTAATATCTTTACCAGCTTCTGATAACCAAACTACTACAGGTATGGTTATCAAATTGGCTATATTATTCCAATAATCTTGTTCGATTTTTAATTGTAAAACAGTACACATTAATTCAGCACGTTGTTGTAGAAATTGTAACATTGTAAAATCTGTTAACCATCCTTTGATATGATGATGAGAAGAATGAGGAATCAATCCAGTTAGCACATCTTTGAATTGATAAGGAGATCATTTTTTATAATTTGGTATAAGTTTTAACACTTGTTTCCAATGATCATTAGATAAATTGTAACATTTGCGTCTTTTTATATACATTGTAGCCGGTAATGAAGACCATTCTTCTTTTGCTTTAGGTTGTAATAATATAAATGATTCATCGATTGAATTAAGTTCTAAATTCTCATCACTATATTAATATTCATTTGTACGATTCTATAGATGATGAAAAAAAAATCATTATTGTTACCATTCATCAATTCTGAACACATCTGATTTTTCAATAGCTTTGACATCTTCATGATATTACTCACCGTATTTACTATAAAATATCCATCCATTTGTTCTTCATATGTTTGTTGAGTATTTTGATGCATTGATATATTTTCTTTTTTAAGCAATATTAACATTTCAATTGCTTGATCAGTCATTCCTTTTGCTCGACATTTGCGTCTAAAATGTTGTAATTTTCGATTACCATGACACTTTTTTTTCTTCTTTTTCAATAAGCCGTCTTGCACGCTGGGTTGTTCAGAAGATTTTGGTACATATTCATTCATATCCATTGTTGAATGATGGTAAGATTTAAATCGATATATCTAAAAAATAAGAGATTAGAGTTCTACAGATTATAAAAACCTAAACATCCGCAAAAAAAATCAGTTTTATAGTTTTCTTTTTTTGTTATTCAAGAACAGTACTTGTTGGTCGATTGATAACAAGAGTAAGAATATATCCTAGTCGGGAGTTCTGATTCTCATAGAAAATTGACACAAACATCGATCCTAATGATGACAAAGATTTAAAGAAAAATTTTAAAATCTTAAAGATGACGGTGTGGATGTGTTAAATCTCGTATTAGATAATATGTGGAAGAATAAAACATATTTCACTTGTGAGTGATAACATTGATAGATAACTTTATTTCAACATGCATAAGTATACATACACCCACACCCACACCCACACACCCACACACACCCACACCCACACCCACACACACCCACACACACCCACCCACACACCCACACACCCACACCCACACCCACATACACACACACACACACCCACACACACACACACACACACACCCACACCCACACCCACACCCACACCCACACCCATACCCACACCCACACCCACACCCACACCCGCATTGAGCCCTGATTATTTTTCACAAGTTTATTTTGTATTTTATCACAACTCAATTTTTTGACCCCTGGAGTCCCCCTGAGGTTTCGAAAAAAATTTTTTTTCTCTTTTCCATCAGAAGTCTTTCTAGTTTGATAGCGCTATGTGTGCTGATTACAAATATCATATTATTTTGTGAAACACGATCTGAAAGGAGTGTTGAAGTGTATAGGGTAGAAATTTTGGACCCACCCCCCCC